GTGAAATAAGTGGTTGTAATTGTAGGGGGCATTAGACTTCCTTAGTCTCAGTGGGACAATTTTGGAAAGTGAAGTGTAAGAGAGGGACATATTACATTTTGGTGAGTTGGTGAAAGTCTAAAGAAGACTAATGAGGGTTTCAAGGTCGGTATAATAGGCATGCTGAGGGAACTGGAGAAAGGGGTATGTCATACTGATGTAGACTCCTTTAGACACTTGTAAAGCTGACCTTTAATTGACCTTTTTATCTTATGATAAAAGAATAAGGTAAAGAACAAATGTTTGTAGCCTTGATCTAAGAGGTTTCATACTGGCATTTAATTAAGTCGTTAATTGATTAACTCAGTACAAACGTTTAAAGTAGGTATAATCAAACTGATCTCTGAATTTGGCTTCTTGGGGTTTGAAAGAAAGTTAAGTTGCATCAATTTCCTTTTGATTTTATCCCTCCCTTATGGGTGAATTGAAGCGGGGTAACTGTTTGTAACAGAGATTACTTCTTGTCAACATGAAGAATGAAATACAGTAAAACTCCAATAGTCCAGCATCCAATTGTATGGCACTCCTGACAGTCTGGCATCAAAATGGCTAGAGCCTAGTGAGTGAGCTTTGGCAAAAAACGAGTTACAAGGCAACAGCGGCAGCTGAACTGAGCGAAAAGGGTAAAAAAGGGTTAAAAAAATGAAAACATCACAGTATACTGTGTACAGTATGTACAATAAAAATGGTTAAGAACACTTTATATACAGCATATAATGTATACAGTATATATATAACCATCTTATTGTACCTCCTGATAGTCCGGCATATCCGATAATCCTGCACCACCTAGGTCCCAAAGGTTCCAGATTATCAGAAGTCTACTGTATATGCCAATAAGTGTGAAGCATTCCAAAGGACAGGTAGACCAATGAGGAAAATTCCAGAGCTTTTTCCTAAAGTGCAATTCTCAATTTAGGAATGTTTTACGTCAATTAGAAGGCGCTGAATATTAACATGTGGGCTACGTCTACATTGGCCCCTTTTCTGAAAGGGGCATGCTAATTTTACATGTCGTAATAGGGAAATCCGCGGGGGATTTAAATATCCCCCGCGGCATTTAAATAAAAATGTCCGCCGCTTTTTTCCGGCTTTTAGAAAAGCCGGAAAAGAGCGCCTACACTGGCCCCGATCCTCCGGAAAAAAGCCCTTTTCCGGAGGATCTCTTATTCCTACTTTGAAGTGTAGGATTTCCCTATTACGACCTGTAAAATTAGCATGCCCCTTTCGGAAAAGGGGCCAATGTAGACGTAGCCGTGGAGATTAGGAAACATGATCAAAGGAAGAAGAGAAATTAAGATAAAAGCAAAAGAAATTAATAGTATTCTCTCCTTGGTGTATTGGGCTTAGTTTTCTGGATTGCTCCTCTCACTGTTTCATCCCTGCATTACAGATAACTTCTGTTCTGTGCCTGGGTTCAATTGCGTTGGCAGGAAACAGAAGACTTGCGTCTGTTCTCTGTATTTTACATGGATTTTCCAGTATTGTAATAAGAAAGCCTCTTGGCCTGAGATTAAAACTGAGTATCTGACTGTTTTGTTTCTGATAGAGAAGGGACCAAAGAACAACTGTAGAGCATCCAGTATCAGAGGGCAACTGTAGAGCAACCAGTTAGTCTGGCTCTGAAAAAGAGACAAGGAGTCCTGTGGCACCTTATAGACTAACAGATGTATTGGAGCATAAGCTTTTATAGGCAAAGACCCACTTCATCAGATGCATGTAGTGGAAATTTCAAGAGGCAGGTATAAATATGCAGGCCAGAATAAGGCTAGAGATAATGAGGTTAATTTAGTCAAGGAAGGTGAGGCCCACTTCTAACAGCATATGTGGAGGTGTGAACACCAAGAGAAGAGAAACTGCTTTTGTACTTGGCTACCCATTCACAGTCTTTGTTTAATCCTAAACTGATGGTGTCAAATTTGCAGATGAACTGTAGCTCAGCAGTTTCTCTTTGAAGTCTGGTCTTGAAGTTTTTTGGCTGCAGGATGGCTGTCTTTAAATCTGCTACCGTGTGTCCAGGGAGATTGAAGTTTTCTCCTATTGGTTTCTGTATATTGCCATTCCTAATATCTGATTGTGTCCATTTATTCTTTTACGTAGGGACTTCAGTTTGGCCAATGTATGTAGCAGAGGGGCGTATATTATATTGATAGATGTGCAGGTGAATGAACCAGTGATGGTGTGGCTGATCTGGTTAGGTCCTGTGATGGTGTCGCTGGTGTAGATATGAGGGCAGAGTTGGCACTGATGTTTGTTGCACGGATTGGTTCCTAAATTAGAGTTATTGTGGTGCGGTGTATAGTTGCTGATGAGAATTTGGTTCAGGTTGGCGGGTTATCTGTGGGCGAGGACTGGCCTGCCTCCCAAGGCCTGTGAAAGTGAGGGATCATTGTCCAGGATGGGTTGTAGATCTCTGATGATGCGTTGGAGAGGTTTTAGCTAAAGACTGTAAGTGATGGCCAGTGGTGTTCTGTTGGTTTCTTTCTTGGGCTTAGAGCATCCAGGCACTCGGCAGTTTTTAAAAACTAGATGGGGTTCATCTACAACTTCTGGCTATTTCAAAGTTCAATTCATGTTGCCTCTGATCTGGAAGCTGCTGTACTCTTGGATCTGGTCTACATTAGGGAATTATTTCAAATCTCCCCTCGCCCCCTCATTTTGAAATAAAAGTGGAGTGTCTATGCTACCAATTTGAAAATCCATTCTTTCAAAATAATGGACTGGTTATTTCAAAATCTGTATTCCTGCTTTCCTTGGGGAATAACGCTTATTTCAAAATTGTTATTTTGAAATAGCATTAGTGTGGATGCTGTGGTGCTGCTAATTCAAAACAATTGGCCTCCAGGGACCTCGTATAGCTGTACTTCTGACCATTCTGGCATGATTTGGTGATAGTCCTACAATCACTAATTTGTGCGCCTAACTTTAAGAGCATGATTACAATAGTATAATTCTTGTGTCCAAAATTCAGTATGTACAGGATATTTTCAGGGCCTAAGAATAATATATGTGTATAAGGCAACTACGTGACTTTCAAATGTTAGGTAAGTTCTGCTGGGCTACCGAATTATTTCTAATGAACACAAAGCTGACAACAAGCTTCATTCGACTGTAGTAGATGTTTCAGTTTTTCAGACAGTTGGGATTTTATTGTCATCTCCTTCTGTGAGTCCCACCATCACCATGACTTCTCAGGCAAATGAACAATTGTGCAGATAGACAGCTCATGACAGACATGTCCTCATTGGAACCTAATCCTTTGTCTGTATAATGTGAGTTTTGTAGTAACGTTCCTTAAATTCACAGTCTGATTCATGAAGCCTCAGGAAGAGACTTCGAAATGTTATTAAAAGCTTGGACATACAAGGTATAATATTGTTTCATCATCATATTTCATCTTTCTGTCGAGTCAATAGAAAATGCCAAACCTGTTTGCAATATTCCTCGAGCTATGGCTGTACAGCAACTATGGTTGGATCAATTTACCTAAACAAAAATCCAATTAGTTTGTTCTAGAACAGGAAAAATGTGTATCTGAAAGGTTTATAACACACAAATTGTTTTTAAACATGTTTTAATTTTAATAATATACCTGCTAAATGTGTGGGAAGGGTGTCTTTTGTAGCAATTACACAAACAGTCTATTTGTTCCCAGTTCTGTATCTAATATTAATTATAATAGTATGAATTCACAGAGTGGGATATGAATAAATATTGACATATCTGGCTATGTGCCAGGGTAGGCAGCATCTAAACAAAAATGGGCACAATTACAAACAGATAACCCAGCATTTGACATTTTAGTATAGAAAATGAATCAATTTTAAGATGACTTGAACTACCAGTAAGCAGTGCACTACTGCATATGATGAAAAATTAGTTCTCTCCAAAAGAATAGGACTCTTGTGATTTTTATCCAGTAGATGCTACATCCACTTCTTCGTGCTTGATTATAACTTGTCACAAAGCACTAGATAAAATCTGTATAAGCATTTTCATTTTGTGGAAATTAAACAGCTTTTTAATGAATCATGGTCAAATGTCATGGGGGATTTCAAAAAAATTAAGTACACCTGTATGAAGATTATTCATTTTTGCATTTAGGATTTACGTATCCTATATTGGCACAAAATACCTATTTGCACTACTTTGCAGAGTATAGTATACACAATATCCCTTGATTATGGAACTGGGGAAAATATAGCAGCTACATTATTTCTTGGCAGCTGACAAAGAAACAAGTCTAATTTGGGCATCAAGAGGTCAATGCCAAGAACACAGGCTAATTTTCTTAAGTGTGGAGATTGCACTCCCATTGAAATTTCTACTCAAATGAGAATATTTGTATCTGTATAGTTCAAGAACTAGGGTGGGAGTCATATGACTGATGGTAACAAAAGTCATAGAATTCAGCAAATGAATTTGCCTAGGAAACTATTTGGTCTGTGGAACTCTTCTGGTTTTCTGCACAGAGGTGATTGGTCATTACTGAATGGCTCCTTCTCCTCCTCCTGGTTTGTAGTTGATAAGCTGCATTAAAGAAGTTAACATACATTAAATATTTTGGTAATTACTTTTCAGCATAAACAATTGCTACAGGGTTGTTACTGGAAGATACGGGAGTGGAGGGTATATACATGAATGTTATGTGGAAGCAGGAAAAGGAAAAAGGGAATTTGTGTGCAGCCATCTCTTATTTGTTAGCAATAAGGCAAGACTCAGGCTAACCCTGAGGCCTTGCAATGCGAGAACGAGAATTGCAAGAGACGCTTTCTTCGCCTCGCTCTAAAAGATTAGGATGGAATGCTGATTCCAGTGGGAACCCTGAGATAAAGTAGGATATCAAGGGAATTGTGTGGGCAGACAGATTATTTCTGGCCATGGTTGTATGTAACAGGAAGGTGTATATATTGCCCTTTATACTGTTTGTATTTGAAGATCTGCTTAGGAAGGGCTACTCCCCCTGCCCTCACTCCGGACTGGCCGCAGTCTTCCCTTGCAATTGCTTGAAAAATAAACTGTCTCTGACTTGTTGCTTACTAAACACAGAGTGAAGACTTTGTTTTCTTCCACAGTTACCAAGAAGGGAGATGCTTTGATAAGTGAGTCGTCTTGACCGCAGACCCAGACTTGTGCAGACTTTTCCAACACAACACAGAATCATGAAAATATAGGGCAAGAAGACATTTGAAGTGGTCATCCAGTCCGCTCCCCTGCACTGAGGTAGGACCAAGTAAGTCTGTCCAACATGTTCTTAAAAACTTCCAATGACTGGGATTTTGTAACTTCCCTAGGTAACCAGTTTCAGTGCTTAACTATATTGATAATCAGAAGACATTTCCTAATAACTAACCTGATTCTCCCTTACTTCAGACTAAGTTGATTTCTTCTTATCCTACACTCAGTTGCCATGAAAAACAATAACAACTATTTACATTTTTGAAGATTATTTTATGTTCCTCGCCTCAGCCTTCTCTTCCCTAGATTATGTTGTGTTTTCTAAACCTTTTAATATTTGTTCAAATTTTTGAAGTTTGATTCCTAAACCTGGACATAATACACCAGACGCAGTCTTGTCTTAGTGTCACATAAAGTGAAACGGTTACCTGCAGTGTCTTACATAGAACACTTCCGTTAATACATGACAGAATGAGTCCTGGAGTTTAAGGCCTGAAGAGACCCTCATGTTAATCTACTCTGTCACTTGCCTTTTGTGCTGCAACATCACTTTGTTGATTCATTATGTTTGCCATCCATTGTAATCCCTAGATCTTTTTCAGCAGTACTACCGCCTCGCTAGTTTTCCACATTTTGTAGCTGAATATTTGATTTTCCATTCTAAATGTAGTCTTACATTAGTTTTTATTCGATTTAATCTCTTTGATTTTTAACCATCATTCAATGTTAATGAAAATTATAGCATAATACTGGACCCAAGATAAACTCCCTACAAAACCATCTACTTGATATGTCTTCTCATTTTGACAATAAACTGTTGGTTATTATCTTTGAATATGCTCTTTCAACTAGTTTGGCACAGCAATTTCATGTAGACCATATTTCCTCAATTTGATTATGAGAAGGTAATTTGGGAAAGCGTCAAACCCCTTCGTTAAATTAAGATATATTACACTTACTCCTCCCATTTCCTCTCTCCCAATTTTAGCTTATTGTACATGATTAAATAGGTGCCATTCAAATAATTCACTGTCTCATTATATTTCCCACTATTATTTGTTTTTTTGTTGTTTTTTTTTTGGTTTTCCTAAACGTCAGTGGAACTGATGCCTATGAAGAAATATCACTAGGTATTATAAGCAACTGCAACCTCCAATGAGGCTCTAATCCAAAGTCCGGTGAATTTGATGTCAGTTTTTTCTTTGATTTCAGTGGACTCTGGATCAAGACATAATTGCATGCAAATTTGCACATCATAATGCACCAGGCAAATGACTACCATCTGTTATCATTATACATGTGTCCAGTTGCGGGTGGCACATTTACAGAAAGAAAAACCAGAAATGCATTTATCTAACCTATTCA